AAGTTAAAGAACGAAGACATCTGTTAATTATTTTGCGCCCTCATACATCATATAGTGCATCCTATGAAATGAATTAATAGATTCGTGTAATGAAATAAATTCGCCCAAGCCATTCTACAGGAAATCTCCCGCATTCCTTGAATTTTACCTGCAACACTGCAGTAGTGTTGGGAGTGCTACCAGAAAAAACTAACAAATTATCTGGACACATGTCGATTGATATGTGTTGCACACCTGAGCAAGAGTGTTCTGAATGTTCTCTTAAACGAAGTGCTCACAGCAATAAACCATTTGCATTATAGACTAAATTTTTATCTCAACAAGTTTCGATAAAATTTCATCACAGCTTGAAAGAGCACTACAAAATTAGTAATATTCCAAAGTTTCGTTGTGAAATGTTGTAAAATGCGGATAATAATTATAGCCTTGCGAAGTTTGCCGTTTTTCACTACTCGCTTTCTATTACAAACGGGAAATTGATGCCCCAAAGGGTATTGGGCTGTCAATTTCCCCCGCTTAATGCAAAATGACTGAAAAACGGCAAACTTCGCAAGGCTATATTATCCGCATTTTACAACATTTCGCAACAAAATTTTGGAATATTACTAATTTTGTGATGTTCTTTCAAGCTGCGATGAAATTTTTATCTAGACTTGTTGAGATCAAAATTTAGTCTATAATGCAAATGGTCCACTCCTTATCGCTAGAGATTTCGTTGAGCTCATGTTTATTGTGAGCTCATGTCACGCGCAGAAATATCACAAATATTGTAATCTCCCTCATTTTATGCACCACATCTTGGCAGGCCTGTGAGTGGTGTTACGCCCTACTTCAAGATATAACTATGCGGAAATATATATTGCACCAAAGTATTATGATTACTGTGGACAGCTGACTTACTATAATTATCTGTGCAGTGAAACAGAAATTGAAATTACAGGTATTAGCTTTTTTTATCTCGTTTTTTTCCGGTTCTTCGTCTTCTTCCGGTTTTCCGTGTTTTTCAAAAAAACGGTATTTTCCGGTAGTCTTTGTTTGCAATGACGTAATTTTGGGATATCAGTTGACGGACGTGTATAACAAAAACCGGCTATTTTAATGTATTGATCGAGTTTAGAGACTGTTTAAGACTCAAAAGATGAATCACCGTTCAGTTTTTCTTGCTACAACCATTCTGATAGGAGAAAAATCGTACACAAGTTGTTTTATTGCCCGTCATTTGGATGAAAAGTTACGTGATTGCAAACAAAGAATACCGAAAAACCACCCCAGCCTACGTCCTACCTGATATTACTATGCGGAAAAATATATATTGAACCAAAGACAAAGTATTTAAATATGATTACTGTGGACAGCCGACTCACTAGTTATCTGTACAGTGAAACAGAAATTGAAACCGCTACGAATCTCGAAGTTCAGTTATCTTGGATCAGTAATTATTTCCGTCTTCCAATTGAAAAAGCCGCGTCAGGTATGGTGTATTACTATTAACTCACTTTTCTATCTAAAGTATGTATATTAAAAGTACAAAAACTTAAACTTAATCAAGTTAACTTTATTGTTCCTCTTGTGAATGTATTACTAAACATCTGATCATTGATACATATACTCGGTACTTCAATTCAGTTCTGGGGTTTATTTCTGGCGATGCTTAATTATTGCGGGACATGTTCAAATTTGTGATTCCTTATAAGTTTTTTATTTATTGTTCACTAATTAAACATTTCAAATGATCTTCATGATTGAAATGATTTCATTGCGCATGTTATATACTTTGTTTCTTTCGATTTGTTGAAACATTTGATCAGCTATGACCAGTGGTGCCTAAATTGCTTTGAATTTGTACTCGAGTAAAAGTAGAAGTAATTAACATTACATAATAACTACAGTAAAATACGCAATGTGATTGGTCAATAGCCGTGCAGGATCCGGATATCCTGTACGAGGAATTAAAATGTCTTCGCGGGATTCTCAAAATGTCATTGTTTCACTGTACAGGGTGCCCAAAAAAACCCGAAAACTATTGAAAGAACGTATTGCTAGAATTTGACGTATGTAAATTTTATGCATAAAGAAACCGTTTAAATTCCCAAGAGCCTCTCTCCTCCGCAGAGGTTTCAGGCTTCCTGCTTTCTCCGCCTGCGCGTCTTCCACACAGCGGTTCGATACGGTAAGCGTCATGTAAAGCGCCATGTAAGGCTCATTGGAACCTCTGCGGAGGAGAGAGCCAAAGAGCGGAAAATCGTGCGCTTTACAAAGATATTTTAATTTCTTAATAAGTCAACATCTAATATATGCACCCTTGTCAATATTTTACGCATCTTTGCGTTCAGCTTAGTGTTAGGGCATTCAAATTTTAACAATACGTTATTTCAATGGTTTTGCGGGACGTCCTGCAGTTATTTTATAAAACAATTACGAAATGGTTTTCAAAGCAGAATAGCGTGATCCATGCACTTGGGATGTTGCTTGACTTTTGAAAAGCGTAAAAATGCACTCGCCTGCGACTCCAGTATTTTTACGCTTTCCGAAAGTATGTATGTATGTATGTAAAACTTTATTTCAATACGCTAACTTCGACAATTATTTGCAACTGGTTTCCACGAAGGGCGTATACACACAAAGAGCTAAATGTTAATTATATATAGAACAAAATATGTAAGAATCCCACCCTAAAATTTTATCATCTTCTTCCCAAACCTCCACCCCCTAAACAAGTACCCACCCACCCTCACGCAAAACTAACCCCCCTCCCGCCCACAATCTATATTGTCCTCCCATCATTTGGTCCTGGAGAAATTAGCTTATCATCTGCTTAAATGCAATTTCGCCATTGTTTTAAATGACGTAATTGACTCAGCCGCCTTGACATCTTGCGGGAGACTATTCCATAGAATTGCTCCACTGTATCCAAATGTTTTCTTTAGAAATTCCGTTTTCGTTTTTTTTTAACGAGAGATCAGTTTCGCTATTGCGTAAATCATAAATATTCTGCGATGCATTTCTCCGAGAAAAAAGATCTTTAAGGTTTGGCGCAGTGTGGTTCCCCAAGACTTTATACATGAATACTAGCTTGTTTTGTTCTCGTCTCCTAGCCAGGGTTTCCCAGCCTAATTTGTTTAGGTGCATGGATCTCGCGAATACCTTTCGGTATTCCTTTGATTAAGAGTAAAAAGTAGAGGTTTCACTAAGACGAAGATCGACAAGTTGAGCTCATTTTAGTACATTTAATTTTAATATATTCCCTCTTGGGAATTGTTTATGTTTCGTTTTCCATGCAATTGCCAACGGTGGCAGAATGTGATTTCGACGGGCAACTTTTCAATTTGACGAATATGTGGCCATTTTTCATCGTTACGATTTAAAAAGAGTATCATTGAAAAGCTAAATAACTGTTCTTTCGTCCTATGTAAAAATTAAATTGTTTAGTCACGTTGATATGATGCACGAGAGCCTGTTGAATTTTCATAGCGGTTTTTTTGAGACACCCTGTATTACTGTTAAGTGATTGCCAAGCTATTTGATTCAGCGTCTACAATATGTCCTTAATGCATATGCGGCTGCCAGAGTTATATTCTTGTCGCACAAAGCCGACTACATCACGCCTTTGCTTATGGACCTGCATTGGCTTCCAGTAGACCTGCAGCGCATTCATTTCAAAATTTTATTATTTACGTACAAGATAGTTAATGGTTTAGCACCATCTTATCTCGGTGATTTGCTGGTACGTAAGTTCCAAGGAGGGTTCTTAGATCTGGAGACAAGGGTTGTTTACCATTTACATGGGAAACCCATCCGGTTTGAAATTGTGCTAATGGTAAGCAAAATTTCGGATAGATAATCCCATTCGGATTATGCGCTTTCCATTTAGAGTGACTGACCGGAAGGCACTGAAGTATTTAATGATTCCAATTGTTAAATCGAGAAGAGCCTGGAACTGGTGAAAAAATAAAAAAGATGTAAATGGAACTAAATTTACCGGTTGAGCAATCGAAATATGCTTGGTCCATTTACTTTCCGTATGGAATCACCAGAATTTCCATGTAAATGGTAAAAACCAAGCTGCTTCTCTGCCAGCCAACATACCGCCTTAAATCGTTTGGTTTTAGAGCATTTTCGGTTTGTGCAGCAGCTCTATGGAGCAATCTCCAATTGAAATCGGGCGTAGTCCTACTGCGGATATTTTTAAGCCAAAAGTTAAGACACATCTTTTTAAACTTGCGTATTATTAATTTATTAACATTTTTATATCATTAGTTACTAGGTTTTTAAACTGCATGTATAATTGTAAAGCGCATTTGGGCAACTTTGGAGAGTGCGGTTTATGAAACTGGAAATATTATTATCATTAATTACATGCTAATCCCGCAAGCTAGTAAATGGACCTTCTCTATTATATTTCTCCATATAAACACTCACACGCTAGTGGACATTCTAGAGCATCAACTATTTCGCTGACATCAAAATGAAATTTCGTCAAAACTTTTTTCTTCAAGATTGGCTTAGAAACAATTTTCGAGTAGGGTTAGGTTAGGGTTAGGGTAAGGATTCGGGTTAGGGTTAGGGTTAGAGTTGATGCTTGGAGTAGGGTTAGTGTTAGTAAAACCGTTGCTTTGTTACGGCTTGTCACTCTGAGGCCAGCGAAATAATCTGTTCCCTGTTCTAGTGGACTGATTTGTCTTAAGCCGGTGCTTCCACTTTTCATCCCAACAGAAAAATTCTCTTCAAATCTGTGCAGTCGGTCTCAAAACGTTTTGTTTTGAAAGACCAATTGCAGAGCTTAAAGGGCAGTCACATACATATAAGCTTGCAGTGGGAATGCAAATGACTTTTTTTCACAGTCAGCCTGTATTACATATTACGAACGATCGGCTTTTGACCATAATTATTAATGTCATCTATAATCTTAACATTATTCAAATAATGAACCATCTGCTTTTATTATTTGTTGAATGTCCTTCACAAATGTCGCGTCATTTTTTTTATGTTACCAGGTAGCGATGTCAAATATTGTTCTGTTAATCGTTATTGTCTTGACGTGTATTTCCACCAAAACCGCTGCCCAGGTGGTCTGTGTTAATCCGATGAAAATTAGCGAACTTCGAGTTTTGAAGTCAAAGAAATGTGTTAACATAGATGGAACGGATGGTCGTGGAAAGATTAATACAATTCACTGTGACGGCTATCATGATCAGCAAATTATTATGTGTGAAGATGGAACGATAAGGAATTCAAAAGCTCCTTATAATTGTTTTACACCAGGCAAAGACGGAAACGGAAATTTGGTGTCAGCTTCTTGCGAGGTATACCCAGTCATACCCGATTATCAGAAGTGGAAATATGGAAGGTCAAAAACCTTCGTAGACAGAGGAGGAATTAAACAAGAAGCAAGAGAAATCATAAACGTGAAATCTGGAGCGTGCATGAATGTTCATGGTCGTGATGGAAATGGTGACATTTCTGCATATCGTTGCGAAAATCTGGATGACCAGTACTTCTACTTCCGCTCTCGGGGTAAGCTGCTGGGATCTGGGAGACTACAAGTTGAGAAATCTGGATATTGTCTGGATGTGGAAGGAGACCAAGGACGTGGCAATGTTTTAATAGACAACTGTGAAGACGCTGCTGATCAGTATTTCGACTTTTACGAAAATGGCGAATTAGTCAATAAAAAGTCCGGATTGTGCGTCAATATTGGTGGTTATAATGGATATGGCAATATTCACATGTACGCGTGTGAAGATCTGCCTGATCAAATGTGGATACTACCGCGCCAGTACTGCCATGGAGATTATTGTTCTTTCCGAAGTAAGAAATCAGGACAGTGCTTAAACGTTGGTGGATATGAAGCAAAAAAGGGAAGCAATGTGGCGACCTACAATTGTGAGGGGACTCCTGATCAACGCTTTAGATGGGTGAATAGAAAATGGGTTACACCTAGTGCAACATGGTCCATGGTTGGCTGCAATCAAAACGGTCAAGTTACTCACCGGATAAAAAACAGGATCAGTTACAAGACAAAAATCACTTCGACCAAGTCAATGCAAGTTAGTTCGACAATCGAAATTGGTGTCGAATTTGGCTACGCATCCGGCGGGGTATCAGCCAGCGCATCAGTCAAGCATACAAACACTATAGCCGTGTCAACGTCGCTCGCAAAAGAGTGGGAAAACAGCAAATCAAAAACCAAATCGATAACTTTCACTTGCAAGAACTATGATACAGGAAAGCCATTCATACGGGGATGCATGTGGCAATTCCAACTCACTACCAGGGAAACAACGAAAGACGATCTTTTGAAGTGGTCGCCCCAGATCGTGAAATGTACAAGCAATCATCAGAGGCCAAAATGCCCTCCATTTAGGAGATGCAAAGATGACGCATGCACAATGTGTGAAAAACTACCAGGTATCCGTAAGAAAAAAAGCGTCGACGAATCATTGACATGGAAAAAGGTGTTGAAGATAGACTAGAAAAGAAACAAAAAGACACTGCAATACTTCATTTATTCGTTATTAACTTTTGGTTTTAGTCTAGAAATTGGGAACGCTTTTCACTATAGTATAAGTAGAAATAATAAACGAACACGCAGCTAATTTGAGGAATTTTTCTTTTGCATGTTAGAGCTTTTATGAAGCAGGATAAGCTCTGTATATTACACAAAATGTAATAAATAGATGGAAACAAGTAGAATACATTTTTTGCAATGCTTTTCGAGAGTTTTTCTTTTCATGTACGAAGCAAACCGAAGATTTGCATTGTATGCCGTTGCAAAAAAAGCTAGCAAACTTAATCCTTGCGGATTAACTTGAAATTCACAGAAAATTTCTCACTAGTTTGTTTATAAGCTTGGAAAATTTCTTCACAAAAATCTTGCCAGCATCAGGAGTCTGACGTTATGAGATTAACTTACTGACATGGAGAAATACACAAACTGTATTTATAAAACAGTGGGTTAAATTTTATTAACCCACGAAATACATAATTGTACTCGCATTCGCTGCGCTCACTCTTGAGATATCATGGTCAACACTCGAAATAAATCTGGTATTTTCGCGCACCCATGCATGTATTATTCTTTAAATAATACTCTGTGAATTCAAGTCATTGACAACTTAAGTAATTTAAACCAAGCGACAACCCGTTTTGACTTCGTCCCATTCTATAATGTGAACAGAAAAAACATACGCTCGGATAGGATTTTTTTCTTTTCGGGAGGATTTGATTTGATTTTCAAAACTGCATGCACTGAAGATTTCCCAGTAAACCTTTTCTTCAGAAATGAGGGAAATGTTCAAATTAGTTTTTTCAGGGATTGCATGCACAGTTCGTTTATAATAAGTTAACACTTTCTCCTAAAAAGAAGACACTGAATGTTTTTAATTTGGTGATACTAATTCTCACTCAACAGCTTGGCAAATGCTCAATATAACTATTGCGGCTCCGTTTTAGATTACTGTATATTTTTGAAGTTTACACTTATTCAGTGAATATATTTTGTTCGACTGAACTGGTAGACACTGCACGCTTTGGATGCAATAAAAGTGAATAGTACTTCAACGCCTTGGAAATTTCTGACTTTGTTGAAATGTATATTAGTTCCAGCGAAGTGTTACAAATAATTAACCTTGCAATTATGTGACATATGTGATTTCTTCTCTATTAGAATGCTGTTTCTAGGGTTTGTAATCCAAGTGAGTATATTTATTTATGAACTTCAGCCGTCAACAGAAATATAAACATATGCAAACAGGAAGACGGTTCAGGACCACTAACACAGCGTGAGTCAATTATACAAAACTTCACAACTTATAATTTAATTATCAAACAAGAATATAGTATAATCCTTTTTATCCGAA